TCTATTCTATTTAATTTAAAAAATGTAAAAATTACTAGTACAGTAAATTGGTTTATAAGCTCCATCAAGGTCAGAACTCCTAATTTGAGAATTACTGCATTAAATTTTCTCTAAAGTTTCCACTAAACTAACATTTAAATTTTCAATTAATGCCATGTTCCAAGATATAAAATGACAGAGTGTGAAGAAATAGAATTGCCTTCAGGGGTTCAGGGGATAGTCACTTTTTTATAAAGAGATCAGTGTTCCTGTTAGCCCTGATCAATATAAACAAAAACATCATATGTATGTAAATAATGCTAAATTTTTGCATAAAAATATTTGTTATGAATGGTCTTTGCAACAAAATAGTTTCTTTTTTAATTCTTCAAACAGTATGTACTAGCTATTAGTCTTCATCAAATATTAACTGTAGGTCTGAGGAATCAAGAAAAACTCAGACTGCGAAGAATATCACCAAGTTTCTTATAACAAAACTTTCCATTTCATGCAGATAACCATTTTTCAAAAAATCAGTCTCCATCTGGCTCTTCAGCAAAACTCAAGTCTTTAATGAACAAAGTTTGAACTGAGATAATATTCAAACTAAAAGTCTTGGGGCAGGTCCTGTGGCCGAGTGGTTAAGTTCAAGCACTCTGCTTTGGCGGCCCAGGGTTTCCGCCTGTTCGAATCCTCGGTGCAGACGTGGCACCACTCACCAAGCCATGCTGAGGCAGCATCCCACATGCCACAACTAGAAGTATCCACAACTAAAAATACACCATTATATACTGGGGGGTTTTGGGAGAAAAAGGAAAAAAAAAAGTCTTGAAAAAATTCCACAAGGTTTTGCAAAAATTATCTGTCATTATTTTCCTGAATCTTTTTCCATGGACACACAAAATGTGACAAGGATCTCCCTGCCATTATTTCTCCATACTCTTTCTCTCCCCGTGTCACTACACAAACTTGATTTACCTAAGAAGCCCATAGTTCTGGGATCAAGGCAACAGCTTCTAGCTCTAATATTAGCCCCAAATCTGAAATGTGGAGGATGACATAGCTTATTCAGAGACTCATTATAAAAGGGTGGAACATCTTTAAAGGGACATAGCCAATAATTCAAAAGAATGTCACTTGCCTATGTATCTTACTTGAACAACTATCAAATGTAATGTAGTTACCCTTGGACATGGTGACATTCTAGTAGAATTATGTCCCTAGTAGAGTACTTTGATGGTATTCAGTCCTTCAAAGTATTTAGACTATGTGAAAATTAATTAATGTAATCCATCAAATCAACAATGTAAAGAAAAATCACATGATCATATCAATAGATGCAGAGAAAGCATTTGACAAAACCAAGCACTCGTTCATGATAAAAACTCTCAGTAAACAGGAATAGAGGAAAACTTCCTCAATTTGATAAAGAATATTTACAAAAAATCTAGAACTAACATCTACTTAGTAGTGAAAAACTACAAGCTTTCCCACTAAGATCAGGAATAAGGCAAGTATGTCCCTTCTCCACTCCTTTTTCTTTTTTTTTAAAGATTTTATTTTTCCTTTGTCTCCCAAAGCCCCCTGGTACAAAGTTGTGTATTTTTAGTTGCGCGTTCTCCTAGTTGTGGCATGTGGGATGCTGCCTCAGCATGGCTTGGTGAGCAGCGCCATGTCTGCACCAAGGATTCCAACTGCTGAAACCCTGGGCTGCTGAAGCAGAGCATGCAAACTTAACCACTTGTCCACAGGGCCGGCCCCATCCACTCCTTTTCAACATTGTACTGGAAGTTGTAGCTAATGCAATAAGACAAGAAAAAGAAATAAGAGGTATACTGATTGGGAAAGAAGAAATAAAATTGTCTTTGTTTGCAGAATGAGATTGTTTATGTAGAAAATCCAAAATAATCAACAACAACAACAAAATCCTCCTGGAACTAATAAGCAATTATAGCAGGGTTGCAGGACACAAAGTTAATGTATAAAAGTCAATCATTTTCTTATATGCCAGCATTTAAAGAGTGGAATTTGAAATTAAAAACCAAACCACTTACATTAGCACCCCCCAAAAATAAAACACTGAAGTATAAATCTAAGATGTACAATATCTATGTGAGGAAAATTACAGAACTCTGATGAGAAAAATCAAAGAAGAACTAAATAAATGGAGAGATATTCTATATTTATGGTTTGGAAGACTCAGTATTGTCAAGATGTCAGTTCTTTCCAAATTGATCTATTGCTCAATGCTATTTCATTCAAAATCCCAGCAAGTTAGTTTGTGGATATCAACAAAGTGATTCTGAAGTTTATATAAGGAGGCAAAAGATCCAGAATAGCCAACACCATATTGAAGAAGAACTAAGTCAGATGACCGACACTACCCAACTTCAAGATTTACTATAAAGCTACAGTAATCAAGACAATGTGGTATTGGTGAAAGCATAGACAAATAGATCAACAGAACAGACTAGAGAACCCAGAAATAAACCTGCATAAGTATAGTCAACTGATCTTTGACACAGGAGCAAAAGCAGTATTATGGAGAACAGATACTTTTTTCAACAAATGGTGCTGGAAAAACTGTACATCTAAATGCAAAAAATGAATCTAGACACAGAATTTACACCCTTCACAAAAAATTAACTCAAAATGGATCTCAAACCTAAATGCAAAAATGAAAAACTATAAAACTTGTAGAAGATAAGATAGGAGAAAAATGTAGATGATCTTGGTAAGGCGATCATTTTTTAGATACAATACCAAAAAGAGGATTCATGAAAGCAAGAACTGAAAACTAGACTTCACTAAAATTAAAAATTTATGCTCTGTGAAAGATACTGCCAAGAGAGTGAGCAGATAAGCCACAAACTGGGAGAAAATATTTGCAGAAGACACATCTGATAAAGCGCTGTTACCCAAAATATAGAAAGAACTCTTAAAACTCAACAATAAGAAAACAAACAACCTGATTAATAAATAGGCCAAAGACCTTAACAGACAATTCTCAAAAGAAGATATACAGGTGACAAATAAGCACATAAAAAGATGCTCCACATTACATTTCATGAGGGTAACGCAAATCACAACAATAGTGAGATACCACTACATACCTATCAGAATGGCACAAATCCAGAACACTGACAACACCAAATGCTGGTGAGGATGTGAGGCAACAGGAACTCCCATTCATTGCTATTTGGAATGCCAAATGGTACAGCCAATTGGGAAGACAGTTGGGCAATTTTTTACAAAACAAAACTTACTCTTACTGGACGATCCAGTGAGTGCCCTCCTCGGCATTTACCCAAAGGAGCTGAAAACTTATGTCTGCACAAAAACCTGCACATGGATGTTAATGGAAGCTTTATTCATAATTGTCAAAATTTGAAAGCAACCAAGATGTCCTTCACTAGGTGAATTGATAAATAAACGGTGGTACATCCAAACAATGAAATATTATTTAGAACTAAAAAGAAATGAACTATAAGCCATGAAATAACATGGAGGAAACTTAAATAAGTATTACTAAGTAAAAGAAGTCAGTCTGAAAAGGCTACATACTACATGACTCCAACTATATGATATTATAGAAAAGGCAAAACGTTGAAGACAATAAAAAGATCAGTGGTTGCCACGGGTTAGGAGTGAGGGAAGGATGACTATGCAGAGCACAGAGGATTTTCAGGGCAGTGAAACTGCTCAGTATGATACTATAATGGCGGATACATGTCATTATACATTTGTCCAAACCCATAAAGTGTACAATACTAAGAGTGAACCCTAATGTGAACTACGGACTTTCACTAATAATGACGTGTCAATGTAGGTTCATCAACTGAAACCAACGTACCACTCTGGTATGGGATATTGATAATGGGGGAGACTATGCATGTGTGGGGGCCAGCGGTATATGGGAAATCTCTCTGCCTTTCTTTCAATTTTTCTGTGAACCTAAAACTGCTCTAAAAAAGTAAAGTCTTCACATAAATTTTTAAAATTAGATTATATAACCTAAAGGGTACTTTACTGTTTTTGAGACTTCCACACAATAAATGGGAAGTGAAGGTGCTTTGTTCTGGACTTCTTTTGAATTATCTGTTATATCCATTAGATTTTAGCTTAATATTTCTAAGTAAGTTGCTATGGACTGAATTGTGTTCCCACAAAATTAAAATGTAGAAGCTCCAAGTCCCAACATGACTGTATTTGGAGATAGGGCCTGTGAGGGAGTGATAAAGGTTAAATGATGTCATAAAGGTGGGGTCCTAAAAGACACTAGAGTTTTTTCTCTTTCGACATGCACACACCGAGGAAAGGCCACGTGAGGACACAGTAAGAAGGCGGCCACCTGCAACCCAAGCAGAGAGCTCTCCCCAGACACTAACCCTGCTACCACCTTGATCTTTGACTTTCCAGTTTCAAGAAATGTGAGAAAATACATTTTGGTTGTTTAAGCCACCTGGGGTGTGATATATTGTTAAGGCAGCCTGTAAGATTAATACATGGGTCAATATAATTTTAATCGGAGGAAATACATAGAATACTTCTTGTTAAGTTCTCTTCCATGTAAATGTGCCAATGTGACGCAGTGGATGATATACAGAACTTGCAAACAAAGGCTATAAGTTCAATCCTCAGCTATACCTCTCATTAGTTACAGGATCTGAAGCTCCCTGAGCTAGTTTTCTTATCGGAAAAGTTAGATAATAACACATTCCTTTCTAGGTTATTATAAGGATTAAATCACATGACCTTTGTTCATTTCTTGGATCTTTCATTTATTCATTCATTATCTAACAAATATCCATTCATAAGGATGAAAAAACTCATGTGTACTCTATATTATTTTTCAATTGTCAATCATCATCCTGGGCTTCAATTTTTGGTTCCTCAATGAAATAAAATATTATATGATGGCGAAAAAATTCTAGACAGAAAATATATAATCATAAATACAGACAATATAATAAACGAATATACATATAAATTTATACCTACTCATATCTATAAAATCTTACCTCTTTGCTTTCTTCCAGATCCGACTCACTGCTGAAGTCCTCTGTGTTTAAATTTTCAAAGTCAGACTCTCCTACAGCAATTGGTACAGTCACAGTAAGACTGGGATTGTTTATGAATGACATGTAATCACTTTCGTCAATAATGTATTTTTCAACACTGCTGCCAGTTCCTATCCCACTCGTGGTTCCATTGACATCTTTAAGATAGTCAAGATCTTTTCCAATTTCCGCTGTATGATTGGACATACAATTGTCTTTCTTGTTGTTTAGGTCATCAAGTGGTTTAATTTCATCTAAAATCTTTTGTTTTCTAACAAAGGATTGTTGAATAAATTCATATATTTTTCTCTTCACATAAGCTATTCCCTTGTGCATCCTGTCCACAGCAATTTGGAGATTATTCATTTCATTATCATCATCAGTGGCTGCAAGGTTGTCTGCACTAAATGAGCTCAGAAGCAAGGCCAGAAAGAGGTTCAGGACCTTAAAAACAATACAAACATGATTACAATTTCACTCCAACGTAAAGAAGAGCAGAGTGAGATCACTTATTCCTCTAAGTGTGGAGGAAATTATAAGTTCTAACAATCAGATGAGAAAGAAACACCATAGCATAGAGATTAGAATTTGGGCCATCTGAATTTATGATCTGGCTCCATAGATATTTCACTATACATCCTGGACAAAGACATGATTTCTGTTAGTCTTAAATTCTCCCACTTATAAAATGAAGAAGTTGCATGAGCTGACCTAAGGTTTAGCTAAATCGTATGACTACAAGAAAATAGATTGATTTATGTACTATAAAATTGTATGATTATGAGAAAACAGTTTGATACATGTATTATACAGGAGTTTCAAGCTTAAAAATTATTATTGTTTGCAATTATGCATTCAAATACATTCTATAGCTTTTTTTGATAAGCAGAGATATTGAATTGCATATTAATTAGAAAGTAACCATAAGACCTAGAATGAGAATTAAGGGCTTAACATGGGCATTGACACGTGTTTTCTTAACCTATTGCATTTCTCATACCCCCCTGTTGACTAATTAGGGAACTATTGATAAATAATCCCTAATATTTCCATGAGACTGGCACATTAATATATACCCATCAGAATATATTATATACCTCTATACTATAAAGAGGAATTAATGTTCCAAACTTAAGAGAGAGAAGAATTGATTAGTTACTTCATTTAGATAATCTCAGGCATCACTAGCCAACCCCTGTTTTGACTGAGGGTCACTAGAGAATTGACTAACACAAGTTGGCTAATGCATCTGCCATATAACATAGAGTGATTGAATGCTATATGCCAATAGGGGGCAAGGAAATGGTAAAATTACTGTGAACACTTAAAGGCAGCACTTTTTAGTTCTATACTGGCAGGTAAGGTTGGGCTTTCTCTAAATTTTTTTTTCAGACTTCTCTCTCCCTTGTCTCTGAACTCGTAAAATGATCCCAGTGTATCCTTCTAGGCCTGTCTTCAAGATGATACTCTATTGGAATTCACATAACAAATGTGATGAAATGATTGACAAAGTGGAGTTGAGTATAAAACTGTAGGGTCACTACATTGCTGTGTTGCTGTGTTGTCAAAGTGAAACTATAAGTATATCCAAGTTAAGAGACTTTTAAAATTAATGATCATTTTTGTTTTGTATAAAATGGTCACCACTATATTATGCTCTTAATCTGTTTCTGAAATAAGTATCTTAAATGGGTACATACCACCAGATTTCCAATGACCATGACCATCATGAAGACAGTAAGGCACATGGCTTGACCAGCGACCTCCATACAGTCCCACATGGTCTCTATCCACTCGCCACACAGCACGCGGAACACAATTAGGAAGGAGTGGAAAAAGTCATTCATGTGCCAGCGTGGGAGCTGACAGTCACTGGCGATCTTGCAGACACAATCTTTGTAGCTTTTACCAAAGAGCTGCATGCCAACCACGGCAAAAATGAAGACGATGATGGCCAACACCAAAGTTAGATTTCCCAGAGCCCCCACTGAATTGCCAATGATCTTTATTAGCATATTTAATGTTGGCCAAGATTTTGCCAACTTGAAAACTCGGAGCTGGAAAATAAAAAATTAATATATATTATTATGATTTTTAAAAGCATTACACATATTGGGGTTTACCAAGAAATGATGATTAAAATAGAATCTCTTACAACATCTGCCATGAACTCGAACCCTCTCAGGCTCATGGCTAATTTTTGGACCCCTTAGGAAGAATTTGATTCTCCTATATTTTAACCATGTAGACCATTTTCCCCTGAAAGTGAATTTTTTCTTTTTTTTGAGGAAGATTAGCCCTGAGCTAACATCTGCAGCCAATCCTCCTCTTTTTGCTGAGGAAGATTGGCCCTGAGCTAACATCCGTGCCCAACTTCCTCTACTTTATATGTGGGACACCTGCCACAGTATGCCTGCTGAGTGGTGCCATGTCTGCGCCCGGGATCTGAACCAGCGAACCCCGGGCCACCAAAGCAGAACGTGTGAACTTAACCGCTGTGCCACCGGGCTGTCCTCTCCCACCCCACCGTGAAAGTGAATTTTTAATGATTACTTGGAGCCCAACCATCCTTAATTTGTTTTGTGAAGATGAGCCTAAGGCACAACAGTCCTGACACTAACATTAACATCTGAATCGCAATGATCTCCACTGAAAGATATTCATTTGTTAATAGCATGCAAAGTAACATCATATGGAGCCCTACTATGAGTGAAGCAAAGTGTTTATTATTCACTAGTGCTCCTTTGGGGCATTGATATAACTAGATGTGCCTGCATTGAAAAACGGAGTATTTCTCCCGACTTCATAATTCTTTCCCTGATTTGCAAGGACATATATGTGAATCAACAGGCAATTCTACAGATTTCTCTCCTCTGATTTTGTGAGGGAGCATATTTTCCAGAGGTAGAATTAGGAAGAGTTTCTGCATGCACATCGTGCATCTGATTGTCATCCAACACTATAAAGGACTGTTTATATTTTCAAGTTACTGTTAAAATGTGATCCCACAACTAGAGGGATGTGCAGCTAAGATACACAACTGTGTACGGGGTTGGGGGGGGGTGGTTTGGGGAGATAAGGCAGAAAAAAAAAAAGATTGGCAACAGTTGTTAGCCCCGGTGCCAATCTTTAAAAAAAATAAAATAAAATAAATAAAATGTGATACATCTTCATAAAAATATTTCCTTAGACCCAGAAATATTAACTGTAGTCATCTCTAGAAAAAATAAGTCAGAATGGCGACTCAGTAATATAGTAACTTTACAGGACTTTGCCCTTTGGAATAAAGGCTTTTCTAAGTGGGAATAATTTTTTCCACTTAGGGACAGTTTTTGACAATGCAAATGTTACAAAAACTTAAAATGTTAATGGTTGTGTGGTGAAACCTATGACAGTACTAAGTAAGAACTCTGATTGTTGGAAAGATTTTTGTTTGTGTTGCTGTTTTGTTTTGTTTTTTACCAATCGGAATGAACGAAGAACCGATAATCCTTCCACATTGGCGAGGCCAAGTTCTACCAGGCTAAGCGTCACAATAAAACCATCAAAGATATTCCAGCCTTCTTGGAAATAATAGTAGGGATCCATGGCAATAATTTTCAGAAACATTTCTGCTGTAAAGATCCCAGTGAAAACCTAAGATCAAAACAAAATTACTCTAATTCCATCAGATAATTATAAAGTAGAATGACATAATGTTTGCTTTTAGAACAAAATGTTAATGCTACTTTCCCCAGGATAATCTATTACTAGCTTACACTTGTATAGTAATTTATAATTGATGAAAGCGTCTCATATACATTATTTCATTTTATCCTAACAGAAGTTTATTAACTGGCTAATGCAGGTATTATAATTATTACTTCACCGATAAGGAAACAGGTCTTCAGATGGGTGCAATGACTTGTCCAATATCACACAACTAGAAAATGGCAAAACTAGGATTTGAGTGCAAATCTATTTTTAACCAGTGTGCTTTCCACTACATTAAACTGCCTTTTCCTTGAGCCTTTATACAGCACAAGTACTGACAAGATTTTGCCCATCAACAGTTTTATTTATCTACAAGCTTATTCCTATTTCCCTCAAATCAGATAGAATTATTATACATGTTTACCTATTATTATAATACATGTATTACTATTGTCAATTTGTTATGCACATGAAAAAATAAATTTATTTCCATAGTGTAAATACTAAAATTTAAAAAATATAAATACTACAATACAAGATGTTTTACATACTTTGCTTTTTACCATCAAAAATCCTAAACCTTAAAACAAATATTATGGAAAATGCATACATTACTTTAGAGACTTCTTTCTTTCAGCAAAAAAAAAGCTAATATTCCTAAGTTGAGTTAACTGACAAACACTTTAATAATTTATGTTTTTTAAGTACAGAAGAGAAAAAACTAAGTGGCACCCTTCATCGAAAATGGCCTTGTTAATCACATAATACACAAAATGTACTGGAGGTTTTCAATATTTTATGATTTTGATATAGAATAGATGGATGAAGCAATATGTATCCTACCTAGATCCCAGAAGTGGAAAAGCTGGAGACATTTTTGAGTTGTTAAATTATTGCTTATAATGATGATGACTAAGCAAGGAAAAAGATGTACAGTTTTATTTTAGCCTTCTATAGGTAGGGAAACTGTGATAATATCATTTTAAAAAGTGTTCCCTTAAACTATGAACTGCACCTGGAAAAGGTATAAACATCAATATGGACTTTTCAAGTAGGACTGGAGGCCTATGCCTATTACTCTCCTTCTCAGATTTTGCTCTCATGTTAAGGGCCATTATTTTTGGCAAAAAGTATGGTGTAGCCAGCTAGATATAATTCCCATCTTTTGGGAGCCAGGATGCAGGAAGGGTGGTGGCAAGACTGAGATAAGTGACTAAATGTAAACAGTTTCTCAAACAGAAAATTTGAAGACTGAACACATTTACCTTCCAGTATGCTTACCAAGTTTCCTACTGTAAGCACATTATTGAAATGTTCTGTCATTGGATAGTGCTCCATGGCCATGAAAAGAGTATTTAAGACAATACAGATGGTGATGGCCAGGTCCACAAATGGGTCCATCACAACCAAGTTGACAATATGTTTCACTTTTAGCCAATATGGCGAACAGTCCCAGATTAAGAATATGTTAGAAAATTTATACCAACAGGGAGGGCATTTCTGTCTGGATTCTTCAAGTTCTAGATTAAAAAAAAAAAAAGAACCACCAAAAGATATGTTTTATGCACACATATATTTATTTATTTCAGATCCACTGGCCTTCTTTTTGATAATCAACCCATTTCCATTTGCTACAGAGTCAAATTTGCTACTCTTGCAAAGATGTTTCTCCAGACACACATATAGAGCAGAAGCAGCAATGTGCATTGATAATGTGGCTCAGCACTTAGCCTTAAATTAAGTGAATAGTCTTTTAAATGAAGTCTCAACAGGAATAGGGGTTGTGGTACTGTAGATGCTGTGTGTAATCCTATGTTAATGTCTGGCTAAGCTGTCATCCTCAGGCTATGAGAAATAGGGTAGGGTTCAATGTGAACCAAGAATCACCTTTTTACTTTGTTTTTATTTTGCAAAAATGGCCTCCTACACCCCTCCAACCTTGAGAAAATTTAGGATGATGTCCTAAACTAAGTGGAACAGAAGAGAGGGTCACCATGACCAACAGGATTAAAAACCCCTAACAGAAATGCTTTATTCTGCATTTTTAAGGCATTGCCATACAGAGGAAAACATTCTTCAGAGTTCCAGTATCATTGAGTTTAAGTAACTTTTTTAAAGTTTCTGGAATATATGAGTAGGTCTAACGAATAACTCTTAAATAAGACCTGTTATATTCTCTTTAGAATGTACTGTTTCCAACTCACAAATAGAGATCTGTGTTTCAAATGAGTCAATATAAGCTTAGTGAAAATAATTGAAATGGAAATGGAATTTGTTACAAACCTTCTACTGTATTTGTTAAAATGCTGGCTATGCTCATTGCTCTCTGCCTCTGGGAAGGATCTTCTAGAAAGTCCATGGAAACATGGAAAGAACTTGATCTTCTCTTTCTCATTTCAGTTTCAGTGGTTGTTCCCTGTAAAGAAAATGCTAATGCATTAAATGATTAACTTGAGCAATGTGATAAGCAAACAACCAAAGGTGATACAGTGAATTTCATGAAACACATGCACCATGCACTTTCATATTTAATTGGTGATGGCAGATATTGCTGACTTATTGTATCATTAACCTGGAATGTCCAAACTGTTAACCATTTAGTCATACAGCAAAAACAGCTTTTTTACCCTCTGATTTCATAATTTTATGAGACATAATGCACTTTTGATATAGTGGATAGATCTCATGAGTTATCCCTAATTCTGAACTAACAGCAAAAAACTAATAACCTGAAAATTTATATAAATGATCAAGGCATTTTATTTTGAGAAGGTAGCCATTTATTTTTAAAGATATACGAATGATTACAACACACATAGCTGCCATCTCATTTGCTGGACACAAGACATACACGTTCATTTGACAACAAAAACTGTATGTTAAAAAAAAAAGGCACACATGCTGCATGGACAACAGTTTCATCCAGGGTACCAAAGCAATAAGTCATCTAGTGCTGACTTAGTCATGCCTCATCATGCTGATATATTTCCAAGTGAGTTAATGTCTAAAAAGAGGCAGTATGTGTTAGGAAATTCCTCATCTGCATATATATTCACAAACACATGATATACCTTTGTACACAGACAAGTCTTTGATCTGTCTGTATTAATAATTTACTTGTGTCTCTTCATTTAGATTAGTTTTGAGACCTATATCAGCATTTTTTTCAGTGAAACACATAAGAGTACTAGAAATTGTAAGGTAAAAATGAAGCTATCTAAGCACAGTGTTCTCGAAAATCTTCTAAACTAAAGCAGAGCTCTATTGAAGGATTGGTTGGAAAGATTTATTATACACCCTTTACACTTAAACATAGGAATCATTCATTTACTTTTATATCAGAGTTTTACAAGACGTCTTGCTATCTAAGTTCAGCATGGGTATATAGCAAATCCTCCAACTGGAGGCAGTAATTTATTATTGTGTCTAATTGATCCTTAGCATGTTTCATAAGTAAATGCATTCAGGTGTTATGCAAAAGAGTGTTGAGGCTTTAAGTTTTAGTTGGTTAGTCTATTAAAGGTATTACAAGATGCAGGTGCATTCACAGCTTGACCAACCAGGAATCATTCTCAAGGGGTTCCATTCTGTAGAAACACTGGCTGGTGCAGCAATAATGGGCCAGCCATGCCTGAACTATTTAAAACTTCCTTACATTGTCATCAGTAGCTGGCTTATCTATTATCACCTCTGGCAGAAGCTGTCCAACAGGCGATGTAGGAACTGAAGGTCCACCAACCAAGGAAACCACACCATTGCAATCCACAGTGCTGTGCATCTTCCCATTCGCTGGAAACACTGCCAGCATCCGGGATGACCTACTGGTCTGACTCAAGTTACTGTTGCGTCGCTCTCCATGTCGTCGGGGCACAAACAAGGAGTCTCTCCGGCTCTCGTTATCCTCAAAGGTGCTGTGCTCATCGTCAGCAAAGTCGTTCTCTGATCCCACATCCTTTGCTCGCCCTCTAAAGCTGAAAAGGCTTGTTCTGCTATTTCGCCTTGGGGAAAATAGGGAGCCACGGATGCTCAACAAAGACTAAAAGTTTGAAACCAAAAGAAATAAAATCATATTAATATAGCCATTTGAAATGTGCTTCTATTTTGCGAGATTAAGTTGAAGGGAATTTCAGTATTCATAACAGAAAGTGATTCATTCATTTTGATTAACATTCTCCTTTTATGTACATTCAGATTAAATTAGTTTTATAAGAGAGGGTTTTTAGTTCGTGAGATTAAATGAAGGGGAAGACAGATCTCAACTTGAAGATATTGAAAAAAACAAAACCCTGAACCACCATTTTTCAAGTTCGAAAGGAAACATTCCTAGTACATTACTATAGACGTTGTAAACATTCGATAAACATCAGCAGCATGACATTAACAAGGCCACATTTGTTTTCGTTGCTTTTTCCTTTCAAGGACAACACTTTTCACAAATTGTTTTAGTTCCTCTTTCTCAAATCGCTTTAAATTAATTATTATTCCTGTCTCATCTATAAGGCACAGTGTTGTTGGAACTTGAAGTTAAGCCTTCTGAAATCCAGAGCGATGTGCTTTTCAATAAAATATACCACAACTAATATCTTCAGAAGCACGCGTGACGGTTTAGAAAGAAGTTAGGGGAAAAAAACAACACAAAATAACTAAAAAGACATTACTGATCGGCTAGCCCCATATCCACATTTTTTTTTTTTTCATTAAAAAGGCTGAGGACTGGAAAGATTAAATGTCAATAGTTACAACAAGTACCAGCAGACAGTATCAGGATGAGAATCCAGGTCTCCCGACTTTCACCCCAGTGTTATCTCAGCTACATCAAGTGTAGACTTACATGTATGTGGAGCAAAATTTTCTCATAACTACGTAAAGAAAGGATAGGTTTAAATATAATAAACACAGCAGTTCATTCAGTTGATGAAAATTCCTAAGTCTGATTTAATTCACGCCGTCCCCTCAGCGTTCTCATTTGCATCCACTCATCATTGAACTCAGCAGCGCCATACCTGGTGTGGGGAGGAGTACCTCTTTTCATAGGTCAATCGATTCCCTTCAATGGAGAAGCGAAACCCCTTCCTCCTGATGCTGTCTTCAGATTCAGATTTGTGGAATTCATCCTCGTCTTTCTCTTCTCCACCAGACTGCTCTTTCTGTTTTCTTTTCTTTCTCCGATTTCTTCTTTCCTTGGCGCTCTTGGAACTCAACTTGGAGGCTTCCGATGAGCTGTCTGAGAGCCCGCCCACTGCACTGGGCTCTCTGGAATGCTCCGAGGCGCTTACAGCTGCAGCCTGCTACAGTGAGGAGAAAGGGCTTTAGCGTGGCACTAGGGAGGACTTTATCTTTTTAAAAAATGGCTCAAATATTTGCATGGCACTTAAAAAAGTCCATTTAGCTAACTCAAGCTGATCTCACATAGAAGCAGCTCTGCAAGTAGGAGAGGGATTTTTTTTTTCTTTCCACCTAATGAAGGCTTTCAGAATTAATTTGGTTTTCTCTGTGCTAACGTTTATGATGTTTGTATTACGCTTTACAGACCACAGTTTCGAAAGGATCAATCAGGCATCGACAAGAACATAAATTCATATTACTTTTTGTGATTTGATTTACCCTAAAACTGATATTTAGTTAGCACCATCTTCTTTTCTCTGAAAAAGAAACTGGAGCATGGCAGAAGAGCTGATGAGTTACTGGAGGTTGTACCTAAAGGTAGGAGGAATGAGATAAAGAGCTGAGGTCTTCTCTCCAGTTATTGAAACTGGGTTGTCCAATAGCCTCTAAATATTATCAGTCAAAATTATGGAGGGCGATAAAATCCTTTCTTCACCCCTACCCAGCACTCTAGCCAGAAGACTGGAGAAGAAATGAGCAACAGTTTCTGCTAAGCAAGACAAGATGTTCAGATCTCCAAATACCGTCCCCACCTTCTTCCAGTCAGCACTGGTTCTTGCTGGCCACGTGGGCGTGGAATGAAAACAACGCTTTTTGATCACAGCTTATACTGGAACTAACTTGGCACTTTTGATTATTATCATTGTTTCCAGAGTACCCTCAACACAGGGACTCCTGCAAATAAATTAATATTCCCCAAACAACTTTCTTTTATTGTAAAGACAGTGAGTTTGTATGCTAAACAGAAAGAGTGAGGAAAGATGGAAATGATAGGACAGGTGAGTACCGACGCTTCACTATGAGAACAAGCAAGCCTCAGGTTACGTGATCTCCATTGGACTGGGGACTTTTGTATGTTTACTGGATACTGCTGTATCAGAGAATATTATATTATTTGAGTACTTTCTTATTTATGTAAGGCAATTAAACAACCACGTTAAAAGCCAACATATTTTTGGTTAAAGAAAGAAATAGACTATCTTCTAAGAATCAGATGAACATCTTTTTATATACTAACCAATACATTTTTTTCTAAGAAAAGCTTTCTTAGGATTTTCTCCCAATACCAGTATACTCATTCAGTAAAAGTTTCTTACCTAAGAAGACCCCAAATCACATTTTCCCTTCTATTCTAAAAATCTGATTTGTGCTGATTGGGTGAATTTACCTGGGCTGCCTCTTGCTGCTTTTTAAGCTGTTCAAGCATCTGCTGAAATTCAGCTTCTTTCTGTTCTGCCTCTTCCAAGGTGGCCTGATTCTGTTCCTCATAGGCCATAGCCACCACAGCCAGGATCAAATTTATCAGATAGAATGATCCCAAGAAAATGACTAGCACAAAAAATATCATGTATGTTTTTCCAGCAGCACGTAATGTCTGGAAACAAGCACATCAGAATTATGTTTCAAATATTGTTTCACTAACTGGTTCCTTCAACTTTTAGCTTGTGTCTTATAGGACTCGGATATAAATAACTATGATGGTCACACCCCTTCCTACCTCTTTGTTTATTTCTTTAACCTCATCTTCTTCCCTCTCCCCTAACTCATGCATTCACATTCTGATCTCTAGGAGGTAAATCTTGGATTCACCAAGAATAAAACAGAGTCAGAGAAAATACCATGGAGATCTCCATCAAAGAGCTGAGCCTTTGACGAAAGTCAAGGAGAAGACCAAAGTTATCCTTCTGCATCTGTTTCTTCATTTTCATCATCAGTCTACCTGGGGGATAATACTTGAGGGGGTACATGGGGCTGAAGGGAAGATATGCCTTCTATTTGGGAGGATCTGTGTCTGGGTAGGGTGGGAAATAGGTTTTGAGCCAAGGGGAAATAAGAGAGAATTGCCATCCCTGGCATCACTATGCTTAATATGTGTCATAATCAATAGGATAAAGGAACTCAGATCTCCTGATTTCACGTTCTGCTCTTTCCACTATATTTTGCTGTGGTTTGGATTTCGTAACTAAGTTGGTTTCCTTATATACTTCTACTTAAAGGCAGTATGTGTCTCTTTAGGTTCTTACCAGTTGGTAAAGATTTTCCCAGAAGTCCTGAGTCATCAGTCGAAATAGGGACAGAAAAGCCCAACTGAAGGTATCAAAGCTTGTGTAGCCATAATTGGGATTTCGACCAGCTTTCACACACATATATCCTTCTGGACATTGGCTGTAAATGGGGTAAAAGAAAATATTACAAGAAGTTCTGCCAGCTTTTTATCCTGGTAGCACCTAGACTTATAACATTGTCTCGCCAGGAAGATTTGCTACTTCATGGGGATGGAAGTATGATAAATAACTAATACATTTCCCAACTTTTGACTTCACGTAGTTTTACTAGCCACTTGATGTCATCGTTAAATATTGCATAGCATTTCTAATAATATTTTACAAAACCATTTTCTGTTGATAATTAGCATTTTAACATATCTCTAGTTCACTTTCTTTACTATGTAGCCTCCAGAGTTGACTCGTAGCTCACATATACTCATCGAAGGGAAGCATCGTTAGAGCTAAAGCATTACTTCTTGTTTTATGAAACATAAAAGCTTGCCTAATATTTAAATCCTCCCTCACCTTATAAGTAACCTTAATTATAGCAAATTTGTATGAATAAAGTTAGTTGGCTGCTATCTGTCAGTTTCTACAAAAAAAGAGAAAAATATCTATGTGTGTGTGTATACACACACACACACACACACAAACACACACACAAATTATTGGCTTACCCTGCATCAGAGCTATTTCCACATAGTAGTGCATCTAAAAAGCCCTCCAGAAAATAATGATATCCTGTTTAGAAAATAGAAAGTCATATGATGAACATTTGCATACATTGCAAAATGAGAACAAGAAGATCAGGCCCTGCTGTTGGCTTCAGTGAGTGATTTTAAATACGTTATATAATTCATCCAAAGACCCAGGTATTTGCCCCTTCTCCTTCCAAATACTAGATGTACTATTAAGGGGAGATACTTAATAGTAAAGGGATGACAAAAAGAGAAACACATGGAATTAAATAATCATTTTGCAATAAGATTTTTTAGGAAGAAAAATTTTGGATTTTTTAAGAATAAATATTGTCTAGATGCTAAATTTTCAGAGAAATTTATTCTATGTCTAGGTCTATAAGGAACACAAAAACACATAATGGGAAATATCATTTTTATTTCCAGTGTCTTTTTTGGGTTTTTTTTGGCTGAGGAAGATTTGCCCTGAGCTAACATCTGTGTTGCCAATCTCTCTCTTTTTTTGCTTGAGGGAGATTAGCCCTGAGCTAAGATCTGTGCCAGTCTTCCTCTATTTTGTATGTGGGTTGCCACCACAGTATGGCAGATGAGTGGAGTAGGTCTGCGCCCGGGATCCGAACCCACGAACCTGGGCCACCAAAGCAGAGTGCACCAAACTTAACCACCATGCCATGGGGCCAGCCTCTTATTTCCAGTATCTTTACTTCTTTGAACATAGACAGGAAAATTAAGATAGAATTTCTTAACTTTTAATTAAAATTAAACAAAGTGAAAGGAATATGATAGTTTCTAGATGGATTTTTGATATCAGGTATTAATAAGTGAAATTTTGTCCATTAAATTCAATGATCTGTAAGCTTAACCTAAAGAAAATATAACTTTCAGTCATAGTGTTTATCTTTAATTTTAATAAATTTAATTTTCTATTACTTTGAAAGACAAATCATTTTATTTATATTTGCATTGGTTTAAAATAACCTTTTTCAATAAATGGAATATTGTTAAGGAAAATGATAAGAAACAAATTTTTAGAGCTGAAAATGACCTCAGATATTTTTCATTTCTTTTACTTTGAATATAAAGAAAAATGGAGTTCAATAAATTGTCACTAGAGAGAATAAACTCTAAGTGACATCCTCATAGTCAGTTCCCTGACCTTAGATTTAAAAAAAACAAACAGATTTCAGGGAGTTGGTGACAGCAGTGGACTTATTGGCATCATGTGAAGTGAATAAGGGACAATTTCATATGTTGCTCTGACATGTTTTTCCTAATCAAGGCATTTTTCTTAATCTAGAGACTTACAATTGTTTGCAAATTATTTGCTGGCATATCAGTAATATCAGGGAAGAGTTAATCTGTTATCAACCAAGGTATTTTCCACATTACAACTATAAAAAGACACTGATTTTTTTTTATTATGCTATCATTACTTTAAGAATGGTCAAACTACCAGTAATTTTTCATGACTAATCCTACTTGTTCCATACCACCAGTCACGAAGGTTTTCTTTCTTCTCTGATTTTTTCCTAAGTATTACTCATCACCTTAAAATAATAGATATAGCCATATTTAAGCACATCTAGAGTCTGTTTTATATATTTAATATTTTTCTTTAAAAAGGACATTCACTTTCCCATGAATCATGTTCTAACTCTCTTTGCTTCTGAATATGGTTACTGGAAGATACTAACATTAAATAAAAGAGAGAAAATGTTACTTACTTTTATTGTCACTGTAAAAAGAGAAAGGCTATTAGGCCAATTATTTTTCCATCCTTGTAGAGTAGACTATTTAAACATTCGACTATTTTGTCTAAACTCTGGAAATAAAGATAAACTGATTCCCATAACTTTACCCATTATCTGGCATTTTTTATTATTCTCTTCTAAGGTTAATTGACTCTAATTTCCTTCTCTTTGATGTAATACCACTTTGGATTCTTATTCTACAAATATAAGAATAATGTTTAAGTCTCACTTGATTTCCATAAAACGACAATATAAATAACCTACTAAACTATAAGCACCTTCAAGCCTTGTGTCATCATTGTTATTTTCCTAGTGTCCTGCACAGTTTCTGGTACATAAGAGGCGTTCTGTAATTAGTGTTTAATGAGTTACGTTTGCATAGTAATTTAGAGCTTACAAAGGGCTTTCGAATATTTTGTGTCATTTGATTGTCTCAATCACCACGAGAAGAATGTACAGCAACAGAAGATTCTAGGAAGATTTCTTTCTAGCTGAATTCTTCAGCCTTTCATTTGATGATACAACAGAAAATAGCATTTAGGAGTCAAAATTAAAACAGCTATCAATAAAATAATGAAATGTATATACAAACCATTGATAAGGTGATTAAGAGATCACAACTTGTTATGAGATCATTTAAAGAAATTTTTCCATGCCTAGATGGAAAGCAGAACAACAATGACAAAATAACAGTAATTCTTACTTGAATCTTGAATATACGATTTCCAGTCAAACTCAATGAGAGTTTCGTTTACAAGTGTGCCGTTGTAATTCACAGTTACGTTCTTCTCTATGCTATGTTCTTCCAGGGAGGCGTTGGTGGGAGGCCACTGCACACACTTGTTCCGCAGGTTGCCCATGAAGAGCTGCAGCCCGATCAGCGCAAACACGCTCAGACAGAACACGGTCAGGATCATGACGTCAGAGAGCTTCTTCACCGACTGGATCAGGGCCCCCACGATGGTCTTCAGGCCTGAAAGAAAGGAGGGCATCACTATGAAGACTTAGAATGTCTGAAATACCAAAAGCCTCACAGAATTTTCTTGAAAACATAGATTTCATGTATAAATCTGAAAATGATTGCAATGCTTGTGGAAGAGCAATACTTCATGGAAGGCTGAAGAGCTTATGGAGATGAACTCTGGAAACGTAATGATCCAAACAATGAAATGAAGATGCATTTTCCACTATGTGGAGAGAAAATAAGGAGAGGTTCATGGTCTTAACAAAGCCTCTTAAGGAAAGAGTCTTGTATTTCTCCTTTTTACTAATGAAACTTGACCCATACTTTCATTAGGGCCAGTTGTCAGTTTTGTAACAAATTGCCTGAATAAACATTTTTAAATTCCTATTTATAAGGAGGAAAGGTTTTGTTATAAAGCTAGAGTTGGTTTGGAGTATAAGTGCCTTTTAGATAAATAAACCCTCCATACAGATTCATGCTATTCTTTATTATCCTATTTCCTTGTCTTTTTAAGCAATATTAAGATTTACAAGGTATATACATAGTCATTAATGCCTACAATGAACAAGAAATTACAGATTGGTACATTCAATAGGGAACAAGTTCTTGGTACAACTGACATGGAGAAAAAAAACATGACATCTCTAAGTGCAAATCACACAGACTGCATATTACAGCGTCTCATGCAAGATACTGTTAAATCGCAACGCTGATGGAAAATGTGGAAACATAAATCTTATGGCCAAATAATAAGAATCACTTTCTGTGAAACACTTGATTTTGATGATTATGATTTTGATGATCTTGATTATTATGATTCCTGATTTTCTGCAATGCTGAATGTCAAGTAAAGAAGCTGTTGCTGAAAAAACAGGATGGGTCAGCCCTGGTGTTTAACCTCTCTCTCTCTCACCTGGAATGACTGAGATTGTTTTCAATGCTCGGAGAACTCTGAATGTTCTCAACGCTGAGACATTGCCCAGGTCCACAAACTCTGTCACATATCTGTAATAGGGAGTTCACACACAAACACAAAAACAGGATATAAAGAAAGAGCTGTAGGTGCAAGGAGCCTTATGCATTACACGAATCACTTCTTACCTGGAATTACAGAAATAGGTTTCAAAGCTCTCAAGACTCTGAAAGTGCGAAGAGCTGAAAAATTGCCTAGGCTTACAAATTCTGTTACATACCTGTAGAATTAAATCAGAGTTATTCAAGATTTAAGCAGGATATATATTATCTGCTTGGGTTTTTTATAAAGACTGGCTGGGTAATTTTAAATGACAATGTTGTAATTAGCAATTTAGAAATTAGAGTCTATCACGTTGGTCTTCATTCCTCGCATAATTTGAGGCCATTAACTAAATATAAACTTCATGGAGTATACAGCCCTGTTGCCACGGTGGGAAGCAATACAGTCAACATCTCCAGAGTCACTTAGGAGAATTAAGTAAAAAGAAAATAAATATTGGCTACAGTTTCAGGGTTTCAGTTAGAAAAAAAAATGTATGAAATCATCCAAGAGAAATTTAGGCGTGAAAAGGCAGATTGCCTTGCTGACTATGTGTACATGATAAGATTTTCCTAGTATAACTCTTAAGTGAAAGTTAGGCAAATTAAGAACAATATTTTATGGGGCCCCAATGGTGCCCTTGCCATGACTGCTATTTTATTCTCAAAAAGCAGTTGTCCCTATATGCCTTCTTTTGAACTACAGCCAGAGGGAATGGCAAAGAATTGGCTCATCCTGACTAGATATGGAATTAAGATGAGACAGGCAGCATTTGGAGCCCTGAGTATATCAGCTCCACTTCTCTCTACCTCATTACACCTGGAAGAGGCCGAGAAAGTCAGCTCCTGAAGGAAGGATGAGCACAAGTGGTGTTGGTCCACCCTCCCCCACACTAATTTCACCTACTCCTGAATGGGCTTCTATTACTTTTCTGAGTCTCTTCTTCCTCGGGGAAGTTTCCCACCAGGAAAAAAAGAAAAAAAGGACAGGAATGCAGAAATTGCATATATTACTGAGTGTATTTGGATGGAAGATAAGGATCAGAAGTTTTATGTTGAGGGTAAAGAAAGAGATGAAGAAAATCATAAAGGGAAAGAAGAGAGGAGGGAAGAAAAGGGATCGAGACAGGAAAAGGCAGAGGGAATTCGTCTGTTTATGTCTTAATAATCGATGTATGGATGAAAGAATAATTTAAATTTAAATACATAATATATTAAATATCTTCTTTTTTCCTATTGCTTGATTTTTCAGAATATTTTGATGCTAGTAGAGGCTTGTTTTCTACTATTCTACCAAAGAAGCTGGAGAGAGTGTATAATGTGGATAACATCAATGAAAATTTGTGGGGCCAGCATGTTTATGGCTGTAATTTTTAAAAGCCATTTTCACAGATGCATTATGAATATACTTGTGCTTTCATATTAGGGTGTGTGTGTTGAAAATCAGCGTGTATGAAATTTGCTGACAGATGTCTCTTACATGTGACAGTTATAATTTCAGTTACTGCAAAGCCTTTATGCCCAAGGAAAATGCCACTTTGACCTCTGTTGTGCTAAACTAAAATCAGGAGCTTAAATGTATAAATCACACCAAAAGATTCTACAGTTAGAGCAAGCTTATTCTTTAAAAGCAGCGGCACTCAGAGAAAGCCAAACCATATTCTCTTTTGAAGTTTCAAAAAAGGCACTTACGCAAATGTAATGACAGTAAAGTCGAGCCAGTTCCATGGGTCCCGAAGGAAAGTAAAATCTTCTAAACAGAAGCCCCTTGCAATAATTTTTATAAGTGATTCAAAAGTATATATTCCTGTGAAGGTATACCTGGAGACAAGTATCCAAAAAGAATGGATCAAGTAATACTTTTCTTTCATAGCATATCAATTTCTTGTCACTCTATCGGTGGAATAGATGAATATTAAAAAAGTAATCTAAGCAAGTTAATGCAATTTTCATGGAAATAAAACAGCTCTAAATTTAAATTCAACTCCCTAACACATAAAGAGTTGTTTTTAAAGTGTCCTCAGAGCAGAGTAAGAAATACATGCTGTGTAAAGTTTACGTATCTGTGGTTTGAAAAGTCTTGGTAATGACATAAACAAATAGAGCCTCCTGAGAATCGTCTAGTACATTCACATGATGGAGTAGCCAATTAGTAACATTGCAGAAGCATAAAATGATTTTCCTTTAGAAAGTAAAAAACCTCAATTTTCATCATGCTTTATGAATGACAGAACATTGACAAATTAGCAAGTCTAATGTTTTTCCCTTTCTACAAGATAAGATAGGTTAACTTACTTGGAAAAACGATGTCATTAACATCAAAGTGGATAATACTGGGGTCATAAGAGCTGAAAACTCAATTTGGAATGAAATATTGGGCTAATTCAGAAACTTAAATCTTTCCAAAGTTTAATCTTCTACTGAGTTTATCTGAGTAGAAATTTAGATGTTTCTAAGTAGAAATTTAAATGTTTCCAAAGTTTTAGTCTCTTACTCAGAAGTTGGAGGAAAAAATCATAGAAATTAGGGTGACTGAAGACCTGTGGGCCTCACTTATTACCTTCAATACCTTAGGAATTCTTTGTATATAAATTTTATTATTTCCTTCAGAATCTTTATCCCTTTTCTGATTGGCTGCAATCTGGAAGTGTCCCGGAAGAGAAGAGGCTCTTGGGAATACCCATGTTGGTTGTTTTAACAGTCAGCAGCCAAAAAGCAAAGCAATAATGGTTACAACGTGGGCAGTGTGAGCAGCCCCAGCAGCAGTTGTCACAAATCTGGTCTCTCTGCACTCAAAGGTCTCCCAGAACAGAGCCCATCAAGGAAATTAGCAATGCTTCTGGCTTCTGAAAACGCTACCCGAACTTTCACTTCAGTTAGTTTAGCCCTCAGTCTATTGAATTTTCAAGTTCTAAAATCCCAAATTTGGGGATTTTTTTCATCGAACATTTTGGTGACCACATTTGAAGCTGATATAGGCTTGCCATGACGTGGACACGCCTGACGGAAGTGGGAACTTCGTGAGGCTCATTTGTCTTCATGACATGTATAACCTGCCCTTTTAAATTCTTAACACACTGAATTCATCTGGAGTTTAACTGGAAGCAAGGTCTACCATATTGGCTTTTTTCTGCAATTGCTTTCATCACACTTGCTTTGGCTGTTGTAGATCCTAAATAAAAAGTGGTGAGTGTCCAAGAATGATGGGCTTCTGGGAACCATCAAGTACAGGTGAAGGAGAGAGATTACATCCAACACCAACAGCCCTGAGGGCCAATGAATATTGTCTTCCTGCTTTGTAATTCTGTCTAGAAATGGCTTTTAAAAAAATGTTCTTCAGTTTTATTTAGAAGGTATGTTAAGACATAGTTTCAAAATCCAAAATACATATATATAGATATAGATATATGTTTACATGTATCTATATCTATATATTTATATCTATACACACATATATATACTCACATAGTAGGTGGTTTAGAATACAAGTTGAACTTACTCTACATTCTTTGTCCAGTCAGGAGGGTTACTCATTGTCATAAACACACAGTTCGTCAAAATAGTGCACATGATTAGCATGCTGAATAATGTAGGTTGTTGTTAAGGAACACACAGAAGAAAATCAAACTCCATGTATTATATTATATAAAACTAACATTGCCATTTAGCCAAAACTCAGTGACAAATACATCGTGGGCAAGTCATCTAACCTCTTTAAATTTCAGTTTTGTCATCTGTAAAACGTGAGTAATCATATCACCCTCATGGAGTAGTGATATAGATTAATTGAGATAATGTACAAGAAAGCTTTATAGAAGTATAAAGTGTTACTTTTGCTACTATTATTAAACCAATATATTTATCTCCTAGAGAACTCTGATGGAAAAACTGTGTGCAATCTGGGGTTGTACTGTTTTTGAGCAGAGAGCATTGGCTTGAAGTAATTCAGGTGATTAAAAGAGTGAATTGTTAAGGAAGATACATATCTTCAATATTGCAATTTCTTAAATACACGTTATACAATATAGTTCAACATAGAAAAAATATTGTGTAAAGTACAACAAACTGCTAAGAATCAGATTGCTCTATTTTGACTGAGTTTGTACAAATGCACCAGCGCTGGATAAGATTAAAAGTGAATATCCTTGAAGGCCAGGACTTAACGTGATGTGACTGTAACTTAACTTCAACATAAAGTGATCTTGCACAAGTCACTCAGCCTCTCTGTGCCACTGAATCTGCTTATGCCTCCACCGACCTCTGTACAATGGAGCTAATCAAGTATAGGCGTCATCAGTTTGAGGCACAGATTAAATGAGTTAATATGAGTGAAATACTTGGAACAGGCCTACATAGTGGTAGATGTGACCTAATTAACTAAAACAAGACGACTGAGACATAGAATTATGGAGCTGAAAGGGAACTTGAGATAGGACTAGTCAAATCACCGTGTTTTAGAAATTAGAGAATAAAGTCTAGGCTCTAGAGAAATTAGATAATTTGGCCAAGGACTAGAACACAGGTTTCCTGCCTTCGCACCCAACATTCTTTCCATTACAGTTTACTGCCAAAACAAAAATTTTCCATACGTGAAAGTGAAAGTTTTCATCAATGGCCACACGATGGCACTAGGAACACAAACTAGGATGAGGAAACTTCCATAAATGCAAAAACTCTGAACATATGATTTTTAAGTTTCAAATCTTTAATTTTAATAGTAGCATATTTATACCACGCAGGAATCTCTCACTATCAATTTAAGAAATAGAATGGCCTTTTAAGTTTTAGAATCTTTTTTTTAAAAAAAATCAGGTAGTATGAGTTTATGATAATTACAGCATTATTCCTATATTTATTATTGCCAAAGCCATCAAATGAGACAGAATCAGAAATGAAGTTTTTTGCCAAGGAATATGAACAGATGAATTTAGTTGAGAGTCGTTTTTTAACACCAATGGGAATCATAAAGCCAAATCCCTAAAGACCATTTGGAAACATAATCTCAGCTTTCTTCATTCCTTCCAGAGTCTTTACTAAGCAATCAGTATTGTATGGTAGAGTCATAATTCAATGACTTAAATTTGAAATTCAGCCAACATTCCAATACTTCCTTCACAGATTTCATTAGGAAAGTTCAAGAATTAACTAACTATTGGCCAAAGGCCCCTGAGATTCTGCCGTGGAAAATATTCTTAAAGACTTATTCTCAGGTACACTAAAATGCTTCATAAAATAGATATGACTAAAGTTGGCTCTAGAAATAGTTTCCTTATTATATCATTATTCACTGCAAATTCGAGATAATCACAAACTTTAGACAAAGATGGTAAAGATAAATATGGCTATCTTATGCTAGATTTGTAGGATTCAATACATATAAGCATTTTTAGAAAGATATGTATATAAAATGTTAAATACTTTGATATATAATATGTATTTGAAAGTTCTATATAATGTTAAAGACTTTGTAAGTTTCAGTGACATCCATGTGACTAATAAACTTTAAATAAGGCATATATGACAAAAGAAGAAACAAAATGAGAGTGATAAAAGCCATAGAATATGGACATTTCCCAACTTAATTTTATATTTAGCTATAAAGTACTTATAGATTATGCATAAATAGTTAATATTGATCACTTCAAAAGGATATGAATGTACCAAAATCTTAATAGCTATTTTCCTAAGAGGATTGAAGGGAGTTAAAATGTACAGGGCAGAGGTGGCACTGAACCGGAAGATGGCCTTCCCTTTATTCAATACTATAAAAGTCTGTAAGATAGGAACACAACACAGAAGCATAAAAGCATAAACCATTGAAACGGTATTGCCTACTTTCTGTTATTTGTCATAATGAATTATTCCAATGTCGCAACTTTTGATGGGCACCATGAAGACAAACTGTCACTGGATCTCTTCTTTACTAGAGAGGACATCCAATGGTATCACTTACCTTTTATCTGATACTTACCTGCAATTGTATTGTACATAAGCCATTTGGCCAAGAGAATTTATTTAATTTTCTGAATATTTTAAACATCTGAGTTAAATGAAAGTCTTAAATGGGTGCATATTTCATTTCATTCTAAAAATCTTAAGACACTACATTCCTTCTACAGCAATTTCAGCTTTCCCAATTAAAATATCCTGAAAATTAATCCTGTAGAATGCAAAATCATCCAATAGAATGAATCCTTTTTTTTTGGAAATAACTATTCTTTTACCATTTATGCTTATAAAATAAATATTATCACTCTATTTGTAATAGGAAATAAAACCAGACACCATCAAACCCACTCTTGGTTAGATGGATATAATCCAATAATTGATTTTTGGAGGCCAAGTTCCCTGGAGAGTATCCATCGACCAGGAGTGCTAAATCCTGTATTGGGATTTCTGAGTTAGCTGATACATTGAATTCTAATCTTGTGAGGTGCTTCCTTAGCGCAGAGGATATGCTCAAAGCCCCTGCAGAACTGAGGATCCATGAGTGTAAATGGAATTGCATTAAAAAAATTAGATATATTTAAGAGCAATTAGCAGTGTGCAGACAAAAAATAAAATAAAGCAACAATGTATAATAGCACATGAAGGATTCTGACTTAGTGTTTCTTAAAACATTTACTTATAATCAGACAGAGCTGGGGTGGGGGAAGCTGCTTGCTCTGTGAAGAACATATCTTGGGAAGGAAACTTCAAATCATTTTAATTGAAAATTCACTCATTTTCAAAAGTTCTATTTTATCACCTTAGGATGCATTTCTGTGTAGATCATGTTATAACACAGCAAGCATTGCCTTTCTGTTTACTTTCCACTAAGAATCTTTGATAATGATTTAGTCTTCAGGTCATGAATAGATTTCTCAGTCTTTTCCCTCTACCTTCAGGATTTCCTAAATTCAAGTAGAGCAACCACTCCAAAAAGTTTACTGAGTTGCTGTTTGAAAGGAGCACTTTCTATCTGGTGTGTGTGGAAGGTGAAGAAGTGCCCTAAATCAGGACTTTGAGAGCGTGGTCCCCCAACCAGTGCTGGGCTTCACGTTGTTCCTGGATGTGACAAGATATTGAGAGTAAGTGTTTAGATCCTCGTGAGACGATTTGACAAACTAATGTTATATCTGTTAAATGTAACAATAAAAAACAGGGGTGTATTTTGTGGGTTTGTTTTTCATATCACTTTTCTAGAAGTTAATTTTACTGTATTTTATAGAAGAATGTTGACCTTGCTTTCAGAACAGAATGTCTGAGAAGCATTGCTCTAAGTCTGACTTCGACTCTATGTTTTCTCTTTCACCTTTGAATGACTATGGGTCCAGAATACAAAGAAAACTGTATCAGCAGATCTGATTGTCGGAGGGGAGAATTTCACACTGTCTTACTAGAAGAGCAATCACTTGTGTCTACAACACTTAGCCCGTGTTTCTCTGCTTCATTCAGTGCTCCTGTCCCTAAACGACATTGTGAGATTATCACAAAATGTAAACAGACATATGCAATGCAAATGTCTTTACCCCAGGGGGTACACTCATGTAAGGACACAGACAGGCCCAAAGTGAGCTAATTCAAGACTGACTATGGTCCACCTTGCAAACCTACTACATATACTCTCTTTCCCCAAAATCATGCTAAGTAAAACCTGAGAGAAATATTGTGGGCAAGCCAGTCAAAGTATAACGTAGAAAATATATTTGAACAATAAGAATTCCCTCATTTCAAATAATATTACAAGCCTAATTTTGAAATGGATGCTAGTGATACATAGAGACAACGAGGAAGAAGTTATAATCCACACGGAACCTAAATCACGGGCTTGAGGAAAAGGGGGCTGAAGATGTACTGACTGTAGCTCAGTGGGTAATAACAATAATTTGGTTCATCCTAAGGAGATGGGGCCATGTGCAGAAGAGATCACCTATGACTCGGGCTCTGTGGCCACCCGCCAGCACAAACCATGTGCAGAAGTAGTAAAGGAAGAAGAAAGTAGAAAAAGATGGAGGAGGGGGATAGAGCAAAAGGCAAAGCTGCAGAGGCCAAAATAAAGAGTGTTGGAGAGAAAGGAAACTTCAGCCCTGAGGACTAAAAAGAAAAAGAAGCAAGACTCAGAACCTGAACAGAGAGGGGTGCAAAAAGGCAGTGCAAAGAAAGAGCTGGAACTCAGGAGGTGAAGTGAATGAAAACTTCTGCATCCCTGATGCTCAGAAGTAATTCTAAATCTGACAGTCCTTTCACATAGAGGAATTAATGCTTTGACACAGTGGTTAAAGGCCAATGGACATCCTTCTCAATCGTTCAAGCCTTAAAGGGAAACTTTTACTTATTTTAGGGTATATTCCCCTCATTTATTTATAAAATTGAAAGAATTTGTGGAAGATTATTTTTTAACTTCATATTTATAAGAAATATGTGTACAAAATGTAAGTGCTTGCAATTTGAATTTATAGTGGAATTAATGAGGTTTTACTGTACATCAATGTTTGCTCTGCTTTAATTTTTCACAAGACAAACAGATGGGCCAAGCATCCTTACTAGAGCTCCTAGGAAGGTGACACTAAGGCCAGCATTAGGTGACCACTTCAGAGGATTTATTCTGTGGGGACTCTGTTCTGGGGTTGAAACATACCTATTTATCAGTAAACTTCATAAACGTTTCAGTAAACTTTAAAATGTTTCTGAGTTTATTTTAAATAGCCTTCCAATAGAGCAGACTTATAGAACAAGCCCATACATAGAATCTTAAATGTGTTACCATTTTTATGTCAGTTGGGAAGTTCCATTTGGAACTTCAAATTTACTATTTTCACCTAATCTGATGTCTATTTCCTCCTTTATCTGTATCCATCCTCCTTATATTTGCTTGCATGGCAAAGAAGCCAAACATTTTATAAACATTAAGTTTATAAGTATTAAGAATTAATGAAAGGATATTTGCCCCCAAGGACTCTCAGATACACATTTCTCCAGAAAATGGTATTGATGGTAATGAAGAGAGAAGAGAGTCAGCAGGGGACACTGTTTACTTACAAGAAGTCAAATAATTCTAGAATTTTCAAACATATAGATACTTGCCTTCCCTATTTCACAGATAAGAAAGGGTTCAAAACGGAAAGAATTAAAAGACTAGCCAAGATGTCACTGTACCTTAAATTGTATAAGCAAATATTATGTAGCTTTAAGCAAATCAACATTTGTGAGATTTATGAACTATTCAAAAGAGTGCCATTTTTTGCTTTCCCCCCAATTTTTTATTGTAGTAAAATGCACATAATATAAAATTTACCATGTTAACCATCTCTAAGTGTATAGTTCAGTGTTGACTTTCTAAAAGAACACATTGAATGGCTTATTATAGTGAAGTATCTTAAACCTAATTAGTTCAATAAAAATTTAATTAACACAACTCCTTAAGATAATTTTTATTGCATTAAATCACTCCAATAGAAAAGAAAAAGTTCAAATTGGTAGTGGAGGAGAAAAGGCTGATATAGTAGCATCTAGCTTGAAACGGGCCTCTTTCTCTTTACAGCCCAAGGCTGTAGGAAATTCATGAAATTATTTTAATATGTGAACAATTTCATGCCTCAGGACAAATTTTAAAATATAGCTTTTCGACTGAATTGGAAATGAGATTTTATATATGAAATATCACTTTAAAGATACATGTGCAAGAATGTGACTCTTCATATATTAGATGTTGATTAGGTTGATCACTTCTCTCTTCATATATAGTTATCAAACTCAAGTAACATAACATTTATTGAGTCCCTATGTCATAAGCTGTTCATATGTACAAGCGTTGCAGACACCCAGAAAGTAGCACGGACATAGTTCTGGGTCCATTTGCTAATTCAATTGATTTCAAAGCAAAAGATCAATGCAAAAGATGTGTATTAAATGTTCAGAAAAATACATGCAAAGCTCTGTGCTACAGTTTATAGAGAAAACAAAGATATGTAAGTTATGACCCCCAGAAGCTTACAAACTAGTGAATGTTCAATGATCTATACTAACAGGAGGAAATCTAGAGAGTAAGCGAAGGTTTACTTAGACCAGATTGTCCAATAGAAATATTATGTGAACTACGAATCTGAGCCATATATATAATTTTAAATATTCTAACAGCTACCTTTAAAAACTTAAAAAAGCAGGTAAAATTAATTTTAATAATGTTTTCTTTAACCCAATATACCCAATATATTATAATTGGGGATGAAATCAACATCAAAAATTATTGAGATATTTTACATCATTTTTTCATACCAATTCTAAGTCTTCAAAGTCTAGACTCACCACATTTCAAGCACAATGGCCACATACAGCTAATGTCTACTGTATTACACCATTCATTGTACTGCCAGGTCATACTCTCTTCAGCAAGCCATGCCAGGTAAAAATCATTTCTGGTTTTAAAGACAAACCAAGAAAAACTGGTAAATACCACTGATAATGAACAGCTGAATCATCTGGAGGGCAACATTAGGAAAATATAAGTAGGATTTGTTTTAATTTATGTAGTTATTGAGTGCAGACTCAGGAGTCAAATGTCTGGTTCAAAGTCTGGCTCTGCTGCCTGCCGGCAGGGTGATCTGAGAAAAGTTATTTAACTTCCCTCTGACTCATTTGCTTCTTTTGAAAAATGGGAACCACCATCCTTAGCTCGTAGAGGTGTTGTGATTGCAGTTCAGTAGAGATTCTGATGCCTCGTAGGCTGTATTTTCAATCAATAACTCAGGTGATTCTGCAATGGCGGGGTTGTGAATCTGTTTTTCTGAACT